GTGATCACTGATGATATATATTACAGATCAAGTAGAGTGACAATGCATTGCTTTCTAAAATAATCAACAAACTCTATTCAATTACAAATAGAATGAATATGATAGGTGTTGTAACACTAGTATAAAAAACCCATTTGACACATTTGTCACCATTGGCTGCTGTAGTTCTTGGTTTCTCTGAGTAATCTGTCCTAGTAAGTTAGTTCTAATGGCTGAATAGGCAAGCAATCCTTCCTGACCGCAGTTATTTCACACAGGATATCTAACGAACGACACAGGAGTGTTTGAATATCATCGCTATGTTGTGCATTCGAGGCTTCAAGTGTTTATCATCACGGAGATCACGTTGCCTCTTCGGCTATCCCCAATGTTCGGCACTTCTGGCTGGTTCTCGGCACTCAACGGCAAATCTTCCAATCGGAGATGGTGTTTGCCGCTGCCTCCGGCTTCCAATCCCGAGGCCTGGAGACATTGCAGATTTTTCCAAGCCGCTGTTCGCCATAGTGTCCAGCTTTCTTTCTTTTCGTAGCTCCAAGGGAAACATCGCGTCTTCGCAGCTCAAGAAGGGGAAAGATGCTGCTTCGAAGCTGGACAAGCATCCTTGGCGGGTTTCTCCTGTACTATGTTAACCTCATATATACCCATGATGGGCACGACTATTCTAATCATGAGAAGCGCTCCATTGACCGTAGGAAAGAGCTTCTGAAGAAATGGGACCAGGAGGTAATGATTCCTTGTCCCTTCTTCCTTCTCAATTATCTCCGTTGAAACCGTGCTAATCCTAGAAGCATCTTCATCAGTGGAGTTTTTCTGGTGTTTCAACCTTCGCCCATCTGAAGCATGTAAAATGCCTCCTAGAGCCGGATGAGCACTATGATGTCGCTGTACTCGGAGTTCCTTTCGATACTTCCGTCTCCTTCCGGCCGGGAGCCCGGTTCGGCCCGCGCGCCATCCGTGCCGCAAGTGCTCGCCAGCAAATAGCTACAACACCCGCGCTGCCATCAATCCCTATCTGAACTGGGCTTGCATTCTCGACTGTGGCGATATCCCTATTATGCCATTTGACAACGGGGTGGCAGAACGCCAGATGTACGAGGCCTTTCTGGAGCTGGGCACCCGTGAGGCCCCAAACCCTATTCCGGGCATTTCGCACGGAAAGCCCAAGATTGTCACACTGGGCGGTGATCACAGCATCACCCTACCGTTTACGGAAAACCGATCACCGTGTTGCACTTCGATGCGCACCCTGATACCTGGAACCCCGTCCGGTACTCGGCGTATTGGACATCTGATCAATCCCGCTTCAACCACGGTAGCTTTTTTCCACACGGCCAGCCATGAAGGGTTGATTTCCAGCACCAGCTCCGCACACGCAGGTCTCCGCACCCGTCTGACCGGGCTGGATGATGGCGAATTATTCAAATCCAGGGCCGGGACAAGGCTTCCTT